GGGAATAAAGCTGGAATAGTGAGCCATGTAGTCAAGAGGGAAAAGCGGAAACTGAAGGTCCATTTTTTAGGATTACCAAGCGCCCGGGGGAAAAAAAATTGGGCGCTGAAAACCCAGACTGGAATGTATTCAATACGTGTGTGTTTATTTGGATGAAAAAGGGAGGTCTCCACCAACAATGCGCTCTCTCGCGCGCCCCCTTGACTTCCTGGCGGTCTTCACTCTGATCTATTTCATCCCAGCATCTCTGTTTATCTTATTTTTCTCACGTGTATACCTGAAGTCCGACCCAACATCCGCTTCTTCTGGGGAGCATTTTGAGAAATTGATTGGCCGTATAATTTTCTTTCGCATGAATCTTCCCGGAGTATCAATTTCCCCTGAGAAATTCTCGCTTCAATCTTTTTTTCTCTCGCTTCTTCAAAAAATCTCTTGACTTTCTTTGGAGTACATTAAGGGGCAATGACTCTTAAAAAATGTTTACGTTCGACAAGACCCGAAAGATCAAAGTGGCGCACCCCAATTGCAGCAAGTCGGCAGTCTCTGATTTTAAAATTCGTTCAATTCAATTCACTGATTCGATTTGAATTTTCACATCCTCTCTTTTGAGGGCGCGACGCCAGTTAACTATCAGCTTCCACTGAGCAATTGCGATAATCTATTTGAAGAAATCAAAGGCCGAGTGATTCGTAAATTGTGAAAAAGTGGAGATCAATTGCACGATGATGGGACGGGGGAAACTGATGAAATTCAATTTGTGCAACTGGAGATTGCAAATGGGAAGGTAGGTTGGAGCTTAACCTTGTGACACAGTGATGGGCACACTTTACTGGTGGTGAGGATGGACAAATGTCTGCGCGCATGAGCTTACGTTCTCCAGAAGCTGCCGAGAGTTGTTGTAATGAGATCCGGCTAAGTGCAAGCCGATTTTAACTCTTGGGGTTTTACTTGGCCAAGTTCAAGGTCGTGGTATCGGTCCAATCCGCTGTGATTTAGGGGTGTCAATGAGGCTGATGAACATCCGCCGGATTAACTTGAATTTGACTGATGATTTCAGCAATGGAAATGGCACATTCTTGTCTTTTATACACTGTTAGAAAATTACTCGTGAAATTTCAAGTGAAAAATCTTGAAATTTTTAACAACGACAGTTACATGAAATTTAACACATGAAATTCATGAAAACACATGAATTTACAACAATTCACATGACAATTTAACACATGAATTTTACATGAAATTCTTTATTGATGAATCGGTTAATTTTTTTGAATATTCACGCGGGTAGCGTACGGCTCCGGCGGTCGTCCAAGCTAAGCAGCGTTTAGTCTGCCCAGTACTTGGATGGGTGAGACCTCCTGTGCCCATCGAGTCAGTGTGACCGATAGCCACAATAGAATCCCTGCAATATCGGCCGGCTGCACGACTGAGATTTTCCATGGTTTCCCTAGCAGTCCTTGTCCGAATGGGTGCAGTTGGGGAAAAGAAAAACTATCATTATATTTTACTGAAAAGAATTATTATTATTTTAAATAATTGATTTTCCAGTTTCATAATTATTACATTTTATTATTATTATCATTATTATTATCATTATTCTTATTATTCTTATTATTATTATTATTATTATTATTATTATTATTATTATTATTATTATAGGTATATATATATACTACTGTATATCGCCACCGTCCTTCTAATGGCAAATATTATTAAAAACTATCATTATATTTTACTGAAAAGATAAAAAAGGGATGGGAACAAAATGTAAAGACCCGGGAAAGTACACATATGGATGAATAAAATAATTCAAGTAATTCTCGATTTTCAGGTCCATACACGGAGAGATAAATTCAATAAAAATTTCCTGCAAAAAACGTAAAAATTCAGCTTCGAAACGTAATCCGCGAGCGAAGTAAAATTCAATAAAAATTTCCTGCAAAAAACGTAAAAATTCAGCTTCGAAACGTAATCCGCGAGCGAAGTAAAATTCAATAAAAAGTGTGAGTCGGAACTGAAATTGTACGAATCGTTACGTAAATCCTACGATTTTTTTTTGGTCTTTCGTATACCCTTTCGCATTTTTATGATTTGTTCCCTTCCCACCCCCCCAACCTCTTGTACCGTATTCGCCGAGGGCCAAGGAAAAACCTCACTTGAGGGAAAAACCTTGACCAGGTACAGTCGTCCCTTGCGAGACTCCCACTGGGACAATCAATCTATGAAAATTAGAGCGTTAAAAAATCATTTTGCCGATGCTTATTTGGTCACTCAACTTTAACATTCTTCAAGTTGAAGAGTATCTTTGTAAATAGAGGATTTGGTCTACACGCACCCAAAAATTTCATAGGAAAATCGAACTTGATAGAAATTTTTATTGGATTTCTATACATTATTTTCTATAGAATTTTTTTAATTGAGCATTCCGAGCCCGACGGCCTGGCGCAGTGGGTAAGGTCCGTGCCTCACGTGCGCAAGGTTCCGAGTTCAAATTCCGGTTGGGTAGAGCGAGATCTAACCATTTAAAGTCTTGATCATCATCGCAATATACTCAAGCTATTCCAAGCGATTTAAAATAACAATAAAAAAAATTGAGCATTCCGATCAAAAAAATTTATAATCGATCTCCGATGCATGAAAAATCTCACTCCAATTGCCCGCGACTTTTAAAACTCATAGTAGTCTCCATGCACGAAAAAATTTAATAGAAAAAGTCAACAGAATTCAATTTTTCTATATAATTTTTTTTTTCATATATTTTCTATAGAAAAAACTTGGAGAATTTGAGCCGAGAAAATTCTATAGAAAATAGGTCAATAGAATAAGTTATATAGAAAAATTAAATTCTATTGACTTTTTCTATTGAATATTTTCTATTGAACAGTTCAATAGAATCGGCCAAAAACTAATAGAACAGTTCAATAAAAATTCAATAGAATTTTCTAACGAATTCGATAGGTTTTTCTATTAAATTTTTCCATCCGTGTCCCCTTAAATTCAAATCGACAACATTGGAAATCCACACCCCCCCGTAACTGAAGCTCCAAAAAATTTCAAACACGAAGAACAAAAATTATTTGATATTCATCGATGATTAATCGTTCTTCTCATAACTACCCCACGCGTATGAAGATGAATATGATGAGTATGATTCACCTTGTTAGACAACAATCCAAACAAAGAGACGTCCGAAATTCATCAGGATGATATAAACACACCAATTAGTGAAATAGAAGAGAATGGGATAGTCGAGGAGGGCCAAGTTTGGGGGAAGTTCCCCTTGGGCCACCTGCATGGAGCTAATGAACGGGAGTAAAGCGGCAGTAGATAAAATCACTGGAGTCAGGGACCAATCAGATAATCCCACCTTTTGAAAGAAATCGGATTCAATGACTCGAATCTCGTTCATAATCCATTCTAAAGAAGCATTTACATTTTTCATTTCAATAAAATCCTCTATGAAATGTTGAATTCCTCACATGATTCAACAAAATTCATCGAAACCGCTGCGAAAATCCATCGATAAATTCCCCTCAATCCATATTTCATTTCTGAATGAATGAAACTGTGTGTCATATCAATTAACTTACAAACAGACACTCAATACGGATATCTATGGATTTTTTTCTTCGTTTTCTCTCTATATTATAAAATTTTAAATCGACTTGTGGTGATGAAAATTTGGTACTCGAAATGAAAACTCCACAGCTAAGGGTCACGAGGGTCAAAACCAGGGTCAAGAGGTTCAGAATCAGGGCCATGGGGGTGGTCAGAATAAGCATCGCGAGGGTCAAAATAAGGGTCACGAGGATCAGAATGAGGGCCGTAAGGGTCAAGAAGTTCAGTATTAAGATCATGAGAATCAGAATGAGTGTCACGAGGATCAGAATAAACGTCACAAGGCTCAAAATAATGGTCATGATGGTCAGAATAAGGTTTGGAATCAGGGTTATAAGGGCCGTAAGGGTCAAGAGGTTTAGAATCAGAGTCATAAGGGCCGTAAGGGTCAAGAGGTTCAGAATCAGGATCATAAGAGCCGTAAGGGTCAAGAGGTTCAGAATCAGGGTCAAAATAAGCGTCATGAAGGTCAAAATAAGGCCCTCAAAGGGCAGAATAAGGGTCACGAGGGTCAGATCAAGAGTCGCAAGGGTCAGATTAAAGGTCACAATGGGGTTATATGGGGGTTGGCGCGCGGAGCGACCAGGGGGCGTATAGCTCCCTAGTTATTAAGTAAAATCTTCTAAACGTGAGAGTAATTTGTGGCGAAACTGTAAAATTTACCCTGCATTCAATCAAAAATTACCCCACTGAACATGAACGATTGTTCAATATTGTGTATAATTTTTCTGTAACGGAGAATGATTTTTTACCGAACGAATCGTGAAATATCCTCCACAAACCGGTATTTTTTCATTGAACATATTTCGCCCAGCGATTACCTTTCGTACAGTAAAATTTGCCACGATTTTCTCAGTAATTTTTATCTAGCTTTTGTCTCGTGTGAATAATTCAATCATTTTTTTATTAAAAAAATGGTAGGAATCCCTATTATGGATCATCAATGACAACCTATGCTGATTTTCGCCAACACCAGCATCCCCCACATCAAAAGACTCAATTACCAAAATTGATAGCTCCCGGCGATGCCAAAAACACCCCATCAGTTTGATTAAGTTACGTAAATATCACAGTGGGACACAATTACCTTGTGACTTACCTGGAAATGTCTCCCGAGGCCATCCCAAATTCACCAGTTCAGGTTTCCATAATTCAATTGAACATGCCAACTCTGTGATGATGAAACGAAGCTATCCAATCAACCAAATTGTTTCAACAAAACCCTTCACTTTTGAATTGTTAAATTTTGTTGAAAACTTTGCAATTATCTCGTGAAATTTAATCACCTTTGATTGGGTAGGGGAATGTTGTCCAGAAGAATGACACGATGAATTAATGCAGGATAAAACCTCACTCAGTAAATTTATGATTATTCTCTTTTATTATCATTTTTTAACTCGTAAGAAGATATCTTTGTCTCTTTAATTTGTTCCTCTCACTCTACGCAACGGAAAAAATCGTTACGTATTATATTTTTACTGATATATTTATGTGAATACAGTTATGTACATTGGTGTCGAATTCTTATAATATAATTCTGCTCATTCCCAGTAAATTATTTCCGTTCTTTTATTACAAATTAAATGCTTAATGTCTGAAGTGCGCAGAGTATATCTTACTGAAAAATCCTCTCTCCCATGTCTCTACATCATCTTTACCGCTCTATTCTAAGTAATAGTTTCCTTTCTCAATTAATTATCATTTATATCTCTATTTGACGAATAATATACACATTTTAAGGATTCTGCATACATGAAATATACATTGAAGATTATATATTTTCTCATCCACTCTTCGCTCTCCTCACCAATTAATACTAATCATTTTAATTTCTCCTATTATCTAGTTTAATGTTAACATATGCAATTTGTATACAGTCTATTCCACAGTATTCATCACGAGAAGTATTCATATAATTCTTTACAAATAATAAAATTGATTTGATTTCATTAATTTTTGGATGACGGAAAAGATGAATATTCCTTTGTACTCATGCTGAGAAGATCTAGAGATATCTGACGTCAAAGAGTAAACAATGGTCAAATCTATGAAAGTAGAAGCCATCTGTCAATCTCATTAGTCAATGTTTTAGCATCTCCTCAACATCACTTTATCTCCGTACAGTTGGATTTTCATTCAACTCAATCCACAATAGTAAAATTATATTTACAAACTTGCTGGAAAATATTCGGCAATCAGCCATTTTGAACATTGACAACAATCAATGGAATAACGACGACAATACAAATAACAATTGTGCAAATGCTCTTGTTATTTCCCTTGTAAATACATCATGTTCATTTGAAAAATTATGAACAGTCTCGTACAAGTTACGGGCGGATGAGGGTATCATATATGTGCACATATATAATCGGTATATATACATATACATACATAACACATGTTGAAGTTTAATAACCAATTATTCAAAGCCTAGAGAATCGAATAATTATCTTAAAATTCTTCTATTCGTCGTAAATTCCATCAAGGGCCGAAACCACGCGACTCGTTTTTCTGTTCCTGCGAGTTAATCCTGATAACGATCAAACTCTGAAGTAATTTGAGAATTGATTGCGGTTCGAGATCTATTCAAAACTCCCTCAAATCCCGAAAGGATGAGAAATTTCACAAATTTCTCGAAACCCATCATAAATCGAAAAGCTAATTCCATTGTATTCGAACTTCATCATTTTTGCCGAAATGATGGGCAGTCTTACTTCCTGGCAAATCAGTTTTCCGCTTTATGAACAGGTTCCCCCACCTCAGCTGCCTAGAATTTGGAGGCCCACAGTGTCGATTCAATTATATCTAAAACGATGTGAAAACAATCACGAAGAAAGCATGAAATTGAAAGTAATCTGTCGGTGCCCAATGATCAATTGCCTGTAGATGACAGACGGAGTTGGGCCATCTCCATAACCCAAATGAAGTCCTCATCGTCGCCATTTACACGAATTGCATTGTCCCGCTAGATAAAACAAATATTTAAACGTAATTTCTTTCCTCTAATCGACTAGTCATTACTCCATCATTGTCCTTCGATTGATACTTGATTTTCCATGGACCGGCATAAGTCTTCTGCGCTCCTGCAGAGCTTCCGTCAAGTCCATCGGCCGCTAAACCATTGCCTGATACTTCTGCTCAGGTAGTATGTAAGTTTCCGATGAATCAGTGGGTGACGATGTCGTCATATCGTTGACCGAGGCAGCATTGAGATGATGATGGCCAGTTAAGTGTGACATTGACGATGTTAACGTCATGTTGTGGTGATACTGTCCGTGATGGTGATGATGGTAATTGCTCTGGGGACTGTGATGCATGTGAGACAGTTGGGTCTGATAGTAATCACTGGACGTGTAAGGATTCTGATAGCTGTTGTATGTTTGGCCCGGGTAACATTGGCTATTTACGGATCCAGGAGAGGCTGAACTCCAGGGAAAACCGTAATCGCTGTGATGAATTTGATTCATTGGAGGTGGATAGGAGGATGGCGGCAGTTGACTCGAACCCGGTGTCAATGGTGGTGATGGGGTGGTCAGTGCTGAACTGGCACCACTGCCACCAGTCGGTGTGGCACCGAGTCTTGGATATGCTGTATTCGTTGCTACTAATGGGGAGTTTGAGCCCGTTGTTTCCTTGCCACGGGGCGATGATACTGGTGACGAACGACGGCTTGGGGTTGCTGAATTATTTGTTAACTTACTCGTTATGCTCTGGGGCTGACTCGATCTTGGTGATGCTTTTGGCGGCGAGGTTTGGGGCTGCTGCTGACCCTGCTGCTGTTGCTGCAACTGCTGTCTGCACTTTGCCCGGCGATTCTTGAACCAGACCTTTAATCACAGAAGATTTTGCCACGTTAAGACTTTTTCTCATGCCAAAAATACATGGTACAGCCAACAATTTACACAGCGTAGTTTTAATTTGTATCTAGGGTTTTGAAATGAAATTCGTCCCGATGAGAAATGCAAATAAATACGAATTCAAAATTGGCTGTGATAGACCGCAAAATGGCAGAGGATAAGGCATTTTATTATTACCAGTGTGATGATTTGGACAACTATGAGTCGTTGGCAATTAGAGTATATAACTGGTCCAACAGATTTATCGAGAAAACTGGATTAATTCATCATCTATTACAAAAAGCAATTGAAATCAACAAGAAAATTGAGTCGGACTCCATTAGGTAAATAACTTCAAGGTGGTGAGTGGGTCAAATTTTGACCTTTGTGGGGTTCATAGCAGCTGAGTCCCCGTCGCGAACCCTGGGTAATGTTGAGTGCTGGTGAAGCTTAATAGTTGATACTACCTCATAATTGAAATTTTAAAAAACTTCTTTTACAAGGAAAAGCGTAGAATGGGAGGTTCCATACATCTAGAGTTGAGCACTAAAGTTCATGAATAGCCTGAACGTGCATTCTATGTATTCCGTTTACGAACTTTAGTGCTCGACTGCACATGAGCATACACGTTACTAAGTGTAAGAGCTCAAGGAGGTTAAATTCATTTATAGCAGCCAGTTTCCGACACAATACTTCCAAAAATACTTCCAAATACTTCAAAATCACATATAAAAACTAAATATTTACCTATCAGTATCCCGAAAAAATTGGAGTTGCGATATTAGCTAATTACCGATTCGTTCATTCATGTTTCATAGAATGCTATTCAATTCTCTTTTGTTTGTCAGACGGGCTTCATGAAAATTCGACGCAAGAGGATTGTTCTCGTGAAAACCGCCTTGCTTTCTCCATTCGTTCGAGATATCCGTCATGCACTGATAGAAAGGATTAGTGATCGTTAAAAAATGGATTTGGTTGGAGGCTACACTGATAGAAAAAATCTCTGACACGACAGAAGTGGTTTCTTGAGACAAGAGAATGGGGTTTTGACCATGAATCTCTTGATACAAGAGATTCTTAGTTTTACCTAATTGAAGTATATTCTGAGAGGAAGATGTGTGCCCTCAGGACCGATTTACTTGATTGGAAACCCTATCACCTCTGTCGAAAATCATGAAAAACAGAATTATCTATAGCGAAAAGTACGAATTCTTCACACAAGAGAATAGAAACTTCATCAGATTGATATTAAATGTAAGCAAGATTACTTTCCGCCAAGAGATTCTTGCCAGCGAGTCTGATCTAATATGGAAAGCATTATGATGCACGCGAAACTTCCTGCTCTTTCCGTCCAATATTTAATACTTTATGCCAAGTTCCCCTATTTCTTTGATCCAAAGTCATGAAGAATTCATTCAGTTAAAACGGCGCGAATGATGTAGTTTCTTGAGCCAAGAACTTGTACTCTACGTGTCAGAGATTTTTTCTATCAGTGTAGGGTCTATTCGGTCTTATCAAATGTTCATTCAGTAATAGTTAACAAATGCATATTTGAGGAGCCGTCTTTGACTCGACTTTCACCTTTCAAGTGAACCATTCGTTAACTATTAACGAATATTTATTTGGTCATATTCAACTCTATCATTCATTAATAGTTAACGAATCTCGTTTGCAATAAATGAATCATTCTATCAGTGTGTTCGAGTTCTCATTTTTCATTCGAAATATTGCAAAAGGGTTGCAGGTGGTTGCAATAATTCTTCGATGAAAACCAAACAATTTTCTCTTCAGGAAAAAATCAGGAAATAGGTCTGCACCGATGGAGAAAATGTAGGGGGAGTTGAACATAATCATAACGTTACATTAGATCTCAAAGATGGTACTGAAGGGAGGTAACGTAAAAATTGAATGAATGGATGGTGATAAAAGGAGTTAAAGACTGCCGCGATGGGCTCTCCCCTGGTATAAAAGAAATTCAACACAACCTCACGGTGGTGTTAGTGTAACAACAAACAGACGTTGCACTCCCCTCTGGTTTTTCACCATTGGGCGGGCGGGAATATCTATGTGGGACGCTAAATCCACTCTCCTTTATTCATGTACACAGGGCATGAAGAAGGAAAAAGAAGCATCACCCCCCCCCCTTTTTTTTTTCTCTTTCTCTGTTCACATTCTACCCCCTGACGTAGGTCCTATGTATATGTATGCCGCAATCATGTACACCAAGAAACGCACCACTGTATTTCCCCTAGGGTATAATCCCTGCGCAATACAATGTGACCAAAGGGGCGATGTCATGAATCTATGGTACCTTCAAAAACCGGATCTATAAATTATTATTGTTATTTAGATTATTGTCGTAAAATAAATCTTTAGAATGTGAAAATGGGGAATTGATGATTTCACGTTTGAAAAAATTTATGAAAAATATCTAGCGAATTTTGAATTTAAAAAATTTGATTGATAAATTTCACAGTTTATGTTGTCACGTTGTTTTTCAATGGAAAATATTCTATATCAAAAATCAATAGAATTGGAGATTTTTTCTATAAGTTATTTTATTGAGATATTTTCTACAGAAAATCCTCGGCGAAAATTGTTTGAGTTTTGGGTGATTTTTTGAATGAAAAGAAGAGAAAAATAGAGAGGAAAAAGCGCAATTTCATGCCGAGGAATTCCTGTGGAAAATGTCTCAAGATGAAATTTTGTATAGAAAGATGAAATTCTACAGATTTTTTTCTACAAAATGGTTTTTATTGGACATTTCACCCATTTAATTTTCAGTGATATTTTCAATATTTCTCTTGGAACTTCCTATTAGTTAATGGTGGTGGTTAATGAAAAATACTCTACAGAAAAAATCAATAGTGTTCAATTCTTGTAGACAAGTTATTCTATTGAGATATTTGTTATAGAAATTCATTGGCTTAAATTCTTCAAGTTTATTTGTTTAATTTTTTTTCAATTCAAAAGAGGAAAAAAGCTTGGAAAATTCATGTGGAGGAATTCCTATAGAATAAGTGTCAATAGAAAATTTTGCATAGAAATATGGAATTCTATAGATATTTTCTATAAAATAGTTTCTATTAGACATTTTCTATTGAAAAAAGGCTCAGTAAAACTAATAGAATTTTCTATCGAACACCTTGAGTTTTTCTATAAAATTTTGCGTCCACGTTGGACAGGATTTTCATAAAATATCGATCATCAGAGCTGGTTTTTTTAAAGGAAAGATCGATCACGCGATGTTTTTTTCTATTAATATTTATCAATTGTTATTATAGCGGAAATATTGAAAGCCAAAATCTGCAACGCTCATCCCCACGCGGCCTAAAAAAACAGACCGCCTGCAGGGCGGATATATCTTCACCCCATGTTAGTATAGTCTCCAACTTATCGTGTTCGCACCCTTCATTTATAGTGAGGTGCAAATTGTCATCACCATCTGGTTTATATCGCCCGATAACCGATCTTTCGTATATCGATATCATCGCTGCATATTTGATACAAATGATGTATTTATTGTGGTTTTTTGTTTCTATTTTACGCACAGAACAACCTAAACGTCAATTACATTTTGCTAAGCGTACGCTATTTGAAATTTTTGAAAATTTCATGGAAGATATTATAGTAAATCTCATGAGAGTGACATTGAATCGGATTTAGGGAAAAAATGGTTATGAAATTTCAAGTTTTAAGTAGAATTCACGGAAATTCATGAGTTTTCAGTGGGAGTGAGATGGAAATTTCACAACTTGATTGAATTTTCAGTGGAAAATGAACACGGAAAAAAAATATACTCGAATTGATTCAAGTATATTTTATACTCAATTCAAGAATATTTTTTTTCCGTGAATATTCGGAAACAAAATGACATGAATTTCCAATTTTTCCCTGAATTTTCCTGATTTTTCTGAATTTTCACACAACAATTGAACTGAAAAATCGAGTATTTTATTGATTTCCAGATCATTTAAACAGGAAATCAATGGAATATTTGATTTTCAATAACAAGATTTCCTGAAATGTCAGTGGGTCTTGAACACGATAAAAATTTCCGGGATTCGGCACGAAAAATTCAGACGCAAATTTTTAACATTGTAATTTACAGTTTGATAAACGTAATTTACGCTTAATACCAAGATGATGTCTGGTGACTTGTTTCCGTCATGAAAATGAAAAATCGGAATTTAGGCTTCAAAAAGGCGCATTTTACGGTCACTGAGCGCAGTTAACGCTGAAGAAATTACGATGTAAAATACGATCTTAATAGAAACGTATTTTACGATTTATTTATGCGTAATTTACAAAAACAAACACCTTATTTTACGCTCGAAATAACTTTTTTCCTTCGTCATTAATTATGGATAAGTAAACGTAATATACGGAAATATCATGGTAATTTACGAATACGAAACCGCAAATTATGTTTATGTAACCGTAACTTACAGCGCTTTTGAGCGTAATTTATGAATAAGTGATCATACACGGAGAGAAAAGCTGAATGGAAATTACCTAGAAAACCGTGTCAAATTTTACTGCGCGACAGGTAATCGTGAAGCGAAGTGTAATTCAATGAAAAAATACCTGTTTGTGGAGGATATTTTACGATTTGTTCGGTGAAAACAAACACACCTATGGATGCAAAAATTATCCTCTTGTACAATAAAATTTCCCACACCAGTAAGGTATGTATTGCTTTGCACCCACACTGTTAGAAATTTTTAGAAAACTAAGCAAAAGTAGCACTTCAATTCGCAATGTTGTGAGCCAACGGAGAAAAAGTCACTAATCGTCTCGCACTTTTTCCCCGATATACGTCAAGAAAATTATTTATTTAATTACTAGAGAAGAATTATTTACTTATTTACTTATTGTAAACAGAATCTGAAGTTCTGTTTACAATAAGAAAATAGTTGAGGCAGTTTTGGTGAACGAAATTTCAATGGTAATTTCAACTACAAGGGAATTGTCAAAAAAAAAAAAATAGTTACGGTAACAATAAACATTGTAGATTCAACTATTACATTAAAATGAAAAATTACATCATAACGGTGATGACAATATTTGACATGGTAAATCGAACGATGAATCCTAGTTTAATCTACAAAGTTTATTGTTACTGCAAATATAATTTCTTTGACAATTCCCTTGTAGTTAAAATTACCATTGAAATTTTTCTCCATCGAACAACTTCCACGAACAACTTATGGATTAACAAGGTATTTAATAAGTTTCTTTATAATTTATACAATTGTGTTTTGCAATTTTGTTGAAATATTATTACAATAGAACTGTTTGATTTTGTTTTGGTTATACAGAATAAATTATTGCCCTGATGAAGGACACCTCGTGTGTCCGAAACGTTGGCAGAAATGGAAATCTTTTGGGATCTTCTGTTTTTTTATAAATTCGAGTGATTATTAAAATCGTTTTAATGGCCATTACTGGCTAAGAAGTTGGAGTTTTCTGGAAAGATTAAGAACGGTTGAATGAATTTGTGAATAACACTGAGAGAAAAATATAATGAATTATATCTGCGGGAATGTAACTCATTACTTGAAAAAACTAGTACAAATAGTAAAAATTGAATTCAAAAAAATCGAAAAAAGCAAAAAGCGGGGGGGGGGCGCTGTATATATGTGTACAGACAATAATTTTTTTTGTTCGATGAAAAATGTCACACATGCCTCCCTTCCCGTGCAACTGGGATGGAAAATACACAGGACAGAAGCAGGAACACAGCTGCATCGCTTCTCGCCGCGTATATATCGCGGTCTGAAACCCTCCAGGAGAGAGGGAGGGTATATAGCACCGATGGGAGGGTTATAATCCACAAACAAATCGACTGTATGTCGTTCCTAACGTTTCAGTCTCGCTGTTTTTTCCTCGTCCCCCCCCCCCCCCCCCCCTCCCCC